AGGAGAAATCCAGAGCTTGTGTCCCCACAACACTTCTGTGGTTCTCTGTTTAATGAGACTCTCGATTTGAGGACCAAGGTCACACTGAACATTTCAGGAACCACTGGTTCCAAGGTAAGAGATGATGTTCTGGGGCCTGGCAGAGAAATGTTCTAGTGTTGGTTCTGCTCCAAGAGGAGAAATCCAGAGCTTGTGTCCCCATGACACTTCTGTGATTCTCTGATGGGACTCTTGATTTGAGCACAAAGGTCACACACCGAATATTTCAGGAACCACCAGTTCCAAGGTAAAAAATGTTCTGGGTCCTGGCAGGAGAAGAAATGTTCAGTGTTGGTCCAGCTTCAAGAAGAGGTTGGACTGGAGAAATCCAGAGGTCATGTCCCTGCAACACTTCTGTGGGTCTGTGTTTAAATGGGCCTCTTGATTGAGGACCAAGGTCACACTGAATATTCCAGGGCCAAATCTTCCTGTGGGCTCTCTCCCCTCGCAGGTATGACCTGTGCATCACAGCCCTGAACGGGGCTCTGTACACCATTGGGGGAGGAACTTTTCGCTTCGACGTGGAGACAGATGAATGGACAGAGGTGGATGAGGAGTGTTTGGCCCAGAAGTTCTTTATGGGCTGCAGCACCGTGAACGGACGGATCTACCTGCTCGGCCAGCGGAAGGGCAACAGTGCCCTCCCCACCATGGTGCTCTTTGATCCCTACATTGACATGTGCCAGGTCATAGACAACAAACTCCCTTGCCCCCTCCCCATTCGTGGCTGTGTCTCTGTGAGGAGGTTTGATACATGGGCATGAGATCCAGCACAACCAAAGAGACAAGTGCTTTGCAGCTGGAAGGTATTGGATTGCATCCAGTTTGGCATTTGTTAACTTTGAAACCAGATCTGTTTTTGTATTTTTTTTTTTTTTTTTTTTTTTTTTTTTTCTACCTGACAAATGAACTCAAAGCAAAACTCAGTGAAAACTTTGTGCCTGCACATTATTGCAGGTGGTGTTGTGGTATGTAAACTCCTCAGGGTTGATGCTAAATAAAGGTGAGCTGTGATCTCTGTGGTGCTCTGTCCTTGGAACAGCTAGGGGAGACAGGAGAGTTACTGCATCAGGGTTAGAAAATATTGCAGGATTCAAGGAGTAAATCAAAGGTGTGTCAAGGGAATCTTCA